TTTTACTTGGAACGAAGTTTAATCTGTAATGTATTTTCCATTTTGTTCGATGACCTTTTGCGATCTCTCTGGCAACTTGAAAATTCCACGCTCGTAGAAAGTCTGATCCTTTTCGACCAAAAACTGAGTTCAGTGAGATTTTACAGCGTCATCATCGTTAAAAGTTTTACCACGGAGGGAGTTGTCCAGGGATCGAAATAAGTGGTAATCCGATGGCGCGAAATCAGGGCTATATGGCGGGTGTAACATCAATTCCCAACCAATGTCCATCAATTTTTGCCGAGTGGACAAAGACGTGTGCGGCCTAGCATTGTCCTGCTGGAAAATGACACCTTTACGATTGACCAATTCTGGTCGCTTTTCCTTGACCGCTGCATTCAATTTGTCCAGTTGCTAATATTCACGGATAATAAAAAATAACATAATAATAATAATAATTTTATAATATAACATTTACGGATATCATAAAAATGGGAGTGAGAGACATCTATAACTGAAATCGGCAATTACTTAGTTGCCAACCCAATATATACAAGCACAGTGGGGCCCTCGACTTTCGCACACAATTGGTTCCTGAAAGTGCGTGCGAATGTTGAATGTTCGAAAGTAGAGGGATCTAGAATCTATATTTTGCACAAAAATTCGTCTAACTAAAACATTCAGTTTAACTGTTAATATGAAAGTTATAACGTCGAGTCTGGTTTGACTGCAAAGGTTTAATGACCCGTCGTGCCGGCCACAATGACCGGTCTCACATTTGTTTCTTTTTCTTTTTTAAATTGCACTAATCATAAAGACATTTTCACCGGAAATAACTGAATAATTTCAAGCATACATTTTACGACAAAAGTGGAGAGAAATGTCTATATAAATTCAATCTTGTTATTCTTATGAAGTAACACGTGTCACCTAACATTTGCTTACATTGCTCGTTAGGTTTAGCGTTAAGCACCTGCATGGTGCAACTTAGATCTTTCCAATGAACTGCGCGCAACCGGCATAGTTACGTATTCTAATCGAAACGTTCTCCCGCTGCTTTTCGTCGAACTAACTGTCGCCCGAAACTATCGCCGCAGAATCGAAGCAATCACGTCGGTTAAATTGAAACTATAAAATTGGAATTTCCCCCCGACGAATGATTTCTTGAACATTTTGCGAACACGAACGAAAAATCGACACACGTTGCGAAAGCGTTATTGCGAGGCCAGCGAAACAATCTGAAATCAACGGCCGGTTTTTAATCATCATTTCTCCACCGTCCCGGTGTGTCATTGTTCCGCGAGTATCATAAATATCCTGCGCGCGATTTCCGCGTGTTATCGTTGGCTAATCTCGTTAGCCGGGGCGTATCCATGGTTAATAGGAACTGCGGCGTGCAACGCGCGGCCGTGCGTTCTCCGTTTTCGTTTTTCCGCAAAAACGAACGCGCGTGAAGCGTGCCACGCGTGGCAAACGAGGCCTCGTATTGTGTACAATTTCTCACGGTGGACGGCGCGCGGCCGCGGTAAAAACTGCAGCGGAGTCCACGCCCGCGGTTCGCATAACTTCATTTTATCGCGCAGCGAAAATTGCGACGCTATGCCGCGCCATTTCGCGGCCAATGAAATTATGTTCCGCGGCCGTCATTATCGACAATGGTGTTGCATTAACTAGATCACCTGTATGCAAATAGCCGGGTGAAAAAGCTTCCGGGAAACAGTGGTCAATGTGCCGCCACACAGCGCGCAGCCGCTGTGTGTTTCTTTTTTCTTTTTTTCTTTTCTTTTTTTTTTTGTACCGTACGCAGGACCCTGTGTAGAACGCGCGACAAGAATAATCCTTCGCGGCAATGCGAATTACCGGATCAAACAGCTTCCCTTCGTTTCTCCATCCAGAGATCCTTTTTTTTTTTACTTCGCCTCGATTAGCTTCTTTCAACCTGCAATCCCTCTCCTTCCGGCTTTCCCTCTTAAATTCGCGAGCTCGTGTTACGCGTTTCAGCTACGGGAAGCTACGCGAGAGGCCGAAGCGAATGCAAAGTAGGAATTCTAAAGGGACGATTTAAAATTTAACGGAGCGTGCGATTCATGGCCCCTTTGTTTAGAAAGCAACTGGAAGCATTAAACATTGAGAGAACGCGTCGCGGAATTTGTCGCAGAGCGAATTCGCGGGAACGAATTGTTGCGTCGCGTAACTTGCTTAAGTAGACTGCGGATTTTTATGCAAAATAAACGATCTAGTCGATGATCTCAAGCTGAAAATAATATACAGGGTATATTATCGACAAAATCAAAAATTACGATACCAACAAAGTTAATAATTCTTAAGATATTTCGTACATAATTTATTACGTCGAATTTTCACGACGCGACGATGCATTTGTCATCATTATACTGCGGATCTTCGTGCGCTCATGATGTGTGCAAACCTTTAAAATTCAAGAAAACTTATAAATTAACGAGGTCTGATGACATCTCCATTTTCTTGTTGCAATTAACAATCTTTAATTCTAATTCTTGTGACATTACGTATGAAAACGAGAACTCGCATAAAAATCCGTAGTCTAATCATCATCATCATCATTATCATACTTATCGTTAAAACAGTAAAATATTTCACCAAATATTAATTCTTTTTATTGTACAATATTATATAATTATTTATTATATTATATATAATATAATTATTATATTATTATATACTATTATATTATTATATTATTATATTATTATATTATATAATTTTTATTGCACAATACAGTAGAATCTCGGTTAACCGAACTAGATTTTCGATGAAACCATTGAAGGGCCTCGATCTATCATTTTGCACTATTGTATTAATAATTCATCTAAAATAAGAACAACTTAACTATCAATTTTTACTTTGAATAATCGAAGTTCTACTGTATCAATTCAAATCCAGCATCTTCCTGACGATGCCAGAGCAGAAATCACCGACAATTCGAGAAAGACGCGGCATCTTTTCGCCGGACGAGACCGCAAGCTCCCGAGCGTTGTCGATGAAACGAACGTTCGTTGCGAATCAACGAAACGCGAGACCGCTTTTTAATTATTCCTCGCGTCGGGGGCCGTGGGCACGGGTTCGTGCCAGCCGAGGGTAACGCGCAACAGTGACCGAAATCCTCTGGGAACAAACACGGGACGAAAAACCGCGTTATCCGCAGCTGCTCGGTGCCGGTTCGGCGTCCATGGTTCGCGTCGTACGGGGCGTCGTGTGCGCGGCTTTTTGCGCGAATTTCATGAAAACCATAATTGAATATGTTCATTACCGCGCACGGGGGTGGCGTTTGTGTTCGGGGCTCGGGGTGACCGCCGGCGAATCTAATGACCGTCGCGCGATCGGGACTCGAGGACCTGTTCGCGGACAAAACCAGCCCAAGAGCCGAGACGCCGGTCGAACGGAATTAGTTTGGTCCGCGTCGGGCCGACGCGATCTTACTTTGAAAACGGCTAACAGTTTCCCCGTTCGATTCGACCCGAACACCGACGACCCGCGCGACTCCCAGCTCGCCCCGTAATTGGACACGTAATTTATTTCCGGCGGGTAACAACGTGTTTCTTATGTAATTACTGGTCAGTGTAGTTTTTTGCCGGATCCGTGAAACGAACGCGGAACACCGCGCCCCGCGCTCCGTTTCCCAGCAGACGGTAATAGAATCATCGCGATCGAAACGATGACACAAGGGCGCAAATCGAAGCTTGTAACGGAATCATCTTCGTCCGAGTTCGCTCCTAAACAAAGAGAACCCGCTATTGGGAAACGAACGGGAACACGCCGAAATACGATTGGAACCTTTGTTGATACTTCGTGTGCACGAAATATGTCCGTCGAAGAATTAGTACCTCGATTAACCGAATTTTCCTCGATTTTTGTTGTTTAGACTTTCAATTGTTCGAAGTGGTAACTATGAAACTATAGATAGTACTACTATTGATAGTTCTACTATTATTATTAAGATATTATTAATATTAATATATTAATATAATATTATTATTATTATATTAATATTATTAATATATTATTAATATATTATTAATATTATTATTATATATATTATATATAATAGTAGTACTATCTATAGTTTCATCGTTATCACTTCGAATAATTGAAAGTCTAAATAATAAAAATCGAGGAAAATTCGGTTAGTCGAGGCTCTACTGAAGAATGATATCTATATATTTATTTATTTATTTATTCATCATACAGGCCCATTATACCCATTATACCCATTAGTACACAGTATTGAGAGACGTGAACAGTGAAGAGAACAGTACAGAGAACAGTGTTACAAAAACAGAAAGAAATGTATTAAAATTACAATATCCGCATCGTACAGATAAATAGTAAATAAATGTACAAAGTTCAGTAATAAATCGTACATTCCAGATATTTTGCGAGACGCGTGAAAATCCACGCACAGTGTTATTATGGATATACTAAAGGGGATAAAATTTTCGGTTTCTTGATGCAGATTGACCGCATGACAAAATTTCAGACATCCGATTCATTTGCATGGGAAGAAGCATTGCCATTTTTTTTCGAAATGGTTTCAGCGTACGCTTGTATGTAATTAATGGAATATGTTGCATCCATATTCATAAAGTTGGTTTGTTACGTTTATTGCGAATACTCCGACTACTTTTATTCCTGTTAATATATCCACGGTGGACAAAAATAACGTCGTTTCTCTTACTTAATATATAGAGACCGATCAAATATCTCGAAAATTTCATCGAGCTACATAAAATATTTAAAAAAAACTGCAGATTTCTTACAATTTTTGGTCAAAGTCGTGATCAAACTGCGACTTTCACGATCTTTAATTCATCATACATATAAGTTACCGAGATCTACGAAAAACATTTTCTAAATTTTCGTTACAGGCTAAGATAAAAAAAAGAGATTTTTATTTTTTTGTCATTCCACGTAACAGCAAAATTAAAAAACAAAAGACTAGTCCCTCAATCATCTAAAAAGATTCAAGTAATTTAGTTCAGCTTTAAAGTAGTTATATTTTCGGGCCACAGTAAAACTTGATATCGCATCAATTTTAATTTTACAAATAGCTGATCAGCAAAGTTCTGTTTGCCCCAAGCAAGGCTTGGATCTTTTTTACCATTATAGACGGTAATTGTAATGGATAATAATAATTTACCATTATATTAAATAATAATTTATATATATATACCATTATAGCACCGAATCGTCTAGCTTTCCTGTAACAAATTCCTGAAAACGACCCAGCGCGATGTTCGAAGACAAGTGCGAAGACGTGACTCGGTGAACTAACATCGATGATTTTCGTGTGATGCAGGCAAGCCGTACCCGTTGCAGAACTGCACGGCGCACAACCAGACAGGCTCCTTGATTAGGATATCTTGCGAGGAGGGCTACGACGGCGGTCTGCCGCAGAAGTTTGTGGCGATGGTGGACAAGCAACGGGTGGAATCACCGAACCCCTATTGGGAGCTGGAGCTTCACAAGCCGACAACGATCGCCCTTTACGCGGTCAATATGAAGGGGTCTAGCGCGCCGGTGATCATGGAACGGGTGGCGTTGAAAGGTGTAGCCAAGTTTACCGGTGCGTAAGTACCTGCACACACCCGACAAAACTCGGAACGAGGAACGCGCGAACACAGACGGATAAGCAACGCGCTCTGTATCCGCTCAGACACGCCGCCATCTTCAAAAGATCCGACCTCGTGAAACCTCCTCCCGTTTCGAAATAGAGAGAGAGAAAGAGATAGAGAGAGAGAGAGAGAGAGAGAGAGAGAGCATCCACTCTCTGCGATCGTATATCTCGCGTGACGGCTGTGCATCCGCCTATTCCCCGTCCCGTTCTTACTGTTCGGTAACGCGTTTACGTAAAACATCGCTTTAGCGTGCCGAGATTAGCCCCGGAGCGAGCCGAGTCGAGCAAACGTCGAATTCAGACGAGAATACCAGTTTCTAGACAAATGAGATTCAGCCGCGAGTCTATCTTGCGGCAGAAACTTCGCGGAATTACCGGTTAAGGATCTTGCCATTTTTGAAGCAGACAGCGTTCCGAAATAGAAGTTCTCCCGGATTTCTGCAGCCATAAATCGTCGCGTTACTTTATAAGATACAGTAATTTCATCCTAATTCGCGCTCAGATTGCGCACGAGATAGGATAATTTGAAAAGAGGATTATTCGAGCCTTGCGTCTCATTTTCATAGTTACCGATTTCACCAACTATGAAAACGAGCCGCGAGGCTCGAACAATCGTATCTCCTCTTCCCAATTGTCCAATTTTGTGCGCAATCTGAGCGCGAATTAGGGAGAAATTACTGTACATCTTCGTCTTGTCGGCGAATTATCGGCGAAAATCCAGACTGCGGATCTTTGTGCAAGATAAACATTTTTCAAGACGATTGTAAGAAACAGGAATTAAATAAAATTAGATACATTCCTCTTGAATCATTTTTGATTAGTTGAGAATAGTGTAACAACATTATTAAATTCTTCTTGTGTTTTCACAATTTCATGTTCTATGTCACTTTTTGTAGAAATTAATCAAATTCGTAGTCCGATGATAAGAGAAAAATTAAATTAAAAAGTTAAATTATCTCGTTGAATCAACCGGTTAACTTTTTCCGACGAGTGTACTCGTCGTAATTGGACTTTGAATTTTATACATTTATGAGACACAAAAATAAATAGATCAAATACGAAACTAGGAGGACAATTTTAAGACAGCTTTATTTAAGGATATCGTTACATTATTTTCAACTAACCACGATTGTCAAGAAAAACGAAAGATAGTTTCATCTGATCTATATTTCTTACTTCTTAATTTTTCTTTTGCATAAAGATCCGCAGTCTAGTCGTAACAGAAAATATTGCCATTTCTTCATAACAAGTTTACTCGTAAAAAACAGCTAACTGTTTAAAGAGGATATATACAGTCGGTGTAAAAAATATTCGTACATCTTTTAAAACGGAACAACTTTTCTATAATTGGGACCAGAGATCTCAATATTTTAGGGATGTTAGTGGGATTAGTTTACTAGACAGAGGCTAAAAAATTATTTTCAGTGTTCACAAAGCATTAAAAGCATTAAAAAATGTTGTTTTTCAACTTTTCTATCGGAGCCTGTAACGACAATTTCGATCGCATGGCCCAATTACGAAACAGTTATTCCGTTTTGAAAGATGTACGAATACTTTGTACACCGATTGTACTTTAATATTCTTCATTGAACTATATCTTTTAGAAAAGTGTTGTATTACAACGAAATACGAAGGAAATCAAACGTGCACTAATTACTAGACAGCGGATTTCATGCATATAAAATAATGAAAAGATTGGAAGAAACAAAGAATGTTGATGTATTAATTTCGACTTATAAAAGATATTTGAGAAAGAACGAAAATTCTACATAGCTCCCACGTCTGGCAATTGATGCAGACATTTTTTCATTTTGCTTAAAAATCTGCAGAGTCTAATAAATGTACACTCTTTCGAAGAGATTGCAACAGCAAACTACTTGAGCGCCGTGCATTCGATCTGAATTGGCGGACACTCTTCGACCAATTGCTCGGACATAAAGCTTCAACCGGCTCGATACCGTCGCGTAAACATATTAATTATTATTTAAACTTCATACCGATATGTCGGCGTTAATTACCTCTCATTAACAGTCGTTTAAATACTGAATCGCCGACGCGATCGACGACGGATCATCGACACCCGTTTCACAGAGAAAATCCGCTGGAGCGGCGCGTGTACTCGAAACCTCGTCAATTAATTAGTTTTGGTCGGGACGCGTGAAGTCTTAGGTGAAAACGGACGGGCACAGGGGGATGTAGCCTAGTAATAGAAAAGCGGGCGACCTCAGCGAAATCCGGCGGGGCGATCCGAAATTTATGAGCTATTACTATGCATTCTGTTTTCTCTCATTCGTTTCTCTCTTCGGAAAGTCCCCGGCGAGGCGTTCCGACTGTTCCCCGATAGAAAAGCGGCGTCGTGCCCGGCCCCGAGACGTTTCCGCTAGCCTTAATTTCTCCGCGCGTTCATTAATCTTTCGCGACAACGAGGATGCGCTCTCTCGAAACGGGAAATTCGAACGCGACCGACGTCCCCCCCGACCCGGCACGAGATTAATCTCTTCGGAAAACGTCGAACGAACGGCGCGCAATTCGCGAGACGTTCGCAGAATCGAATAAGATCACACTTAACTGCGAGAAAGCTTTCCGAAGATGGTTTCGATAATTTCCAGGAAGTATTCGGGAACTTTCGAGGACTTAAATCAGAGCTGGAAGAATCCAGTTTGTCACAGGGCTGTTTCGGTTTCCAGGAATCTTCGAGATCGCTTCGAAAAATCCACGAATCTGTGGACAACGATTGCATTTGAAAGAGTTATCGAATACAAATTAAAGCGGACAGATTTCATTTTAACACTTTGACGGCCGTCGTCGTCTACGACGAAAGACTTCGCGAAAATTTCTATTGTTAAAGTCGATTCACCTCGATATTTCTTGTAAAATTTATCATAATTATATTCTTAACGAAATTTAGCCTATTTATATTATTAATTAATAATATATATACTATACTATTAATAATATACATATTATACTATTAATAATATAATATACTATTAATTTATACTATTTAAAAATTGTACCATAATTAAGCTATTATTAAAACTTCGACTGCCGCGTTACCCGCGATATTATTTAAAAGTTAATTTTTAAAAACTAATTTTCACGCTAATCCATTATAATTTCTTCATTTTATTCAGATTCGCGTGAGGTAAGAATGTTGAAAAAGTAACCGACGTGGTATAACTTTGCTTTGCAATTTTAATTCAATCGAATAAAATACTTTTTAAATACGTTTTTGGCGCGGTCGTCAAAATGTTGAGACAGGATCGTTTTTGTTTTCGGAAGAATGTTCAAGACCATGTCGGAAAATCGATGATCTCAATTAGAGAGATCTCTCTTAGATCTGAAAAAAAACGATTGTATTTGAAGAATTAATTTCAGTCCGACATTGCAATGTGTTCCCGCAGGAATTTTGAAACTTTATCGAGTTCAAAGAGTTCAAGAGTTCTTTGGTTTTTTTGAAAACTTCGAGATCGCCTCAGAAAATCGGATACTCGGAGAAAAATTGTTGCACCTTAACAAGCTATTTCGGATCGATTATAAATTATGTTCTTGTCGAAATTTGTCAACCTTATCGAATTCAAATTAAAGCTGAAAGAGTCTATTTGAAGGCAGGATCGTTTTGGCTTCGAAGAATCTTCGAGATCGTGTCGAAAAATCGATAGATCTAGGAGCAGCGACTTGGTTCGAAATGAAAGTCAATAAATCCTGAAAAAGGTATCCGATCTCTTCTGAACACCTGAAACATTCGTACATCGTATTTGCACGCTGGCAGTCGACGGCAATAGAGGATAACAAGAAGTTCCCGCGATTGTTATCTGGTTGCCAGGGATAGCAACGCGTGAAATAATAAACACGTTAATCGAACGGCGCCAAGCGGCATCGCGCCGCGCCGCCTTCTCCTCGAAGTTTCGCAATACACCCCAGCGAGACCCTAATTGGAACTAGATTAGGTTCCCCGGAAATTTCTCGCCGAAATTCAACCGCAACGTTCGCCATCGAGCGCAAATGACAAACAAGTGAATTAGAAACTGTCATGTACTGTACTTCGAAGTGTTTCGTCCGCGCCTGCGGAAACTTTGCCCGGGACTCGCTGGGAAAAAGCCAACTACTGTAATGCCTCGATAACTGCCTCATCCCAGCCAGTGTTTAATGTAACTGTCGTACTTTATCTCCGCAAACTTCTGAGAACCTGGTTTCCGTTAGCTCCATCTTGAATCCTTAAAGACGCCCCTGCTCGCGAACCCCTGGCAGCCGAGTTAAATAATTTCGGTAGTTTTAATGTTTTCCGAAATGCGTCAATATTGCACGAGGTTAGTTGCCAACTTGTAACAAAATGTAGAAATGCGAGCATAAATTGCACAAACTGGTAAGAAATGTTTAATGTCCTCTCCGCAAAATGACCTGAAGAACGGACATTGTTCTCCAAATCGAATATTTCTTATATATTTATATATATAATATTAATATTTATTATATTATAATATTATATATTTATATATATAATATTAATATTTATTATATTATAATATTATATATATAATATAATATTTCACTTTATTTTATCTGTTACTTCATGTTACCATTTTCACAACTATACAATTGACGATGTTTATAACAATTCTGCGCTTTATTCAATCATTTTCCCAAACATATTTTTGAAGATATTTCACGTAGACTTATTAATTTTTCCGTTGTTTCCAGTGTAATACAGCCATTTATTTCATTTAATTGCTGAAAATTGACCGAAAAGCTGACCATTTAAATAAATCGAATTACAAACGACCCGGCAACCGCAGGCCGAGGGTCAATAACAGAACTAACGAGCCCTAAATGCGTCTAATGTATATTGTTCTATAACAATACCAAGACTGGATTTATTTAAACTTCTTTATCGAAGTACTTCGATAAAGAGGCGTGCCCAAAAGTTTCTCCTAGAAATATTTTTATATTAGGTTGGCAAGGATGAAATTTGCATAGTTAATAATATTGCAAACTTATTAACTATTATTAGATATTATTAGCTATTATTAACTTTATTAACTATTATTAGACATTGGCTTAATATTTTACCGTTCTGCTCTTTTTTGTCTCTTTTTGTTGGAAAGTTACACATCTCGCCTGTTTAAAGAAATCATTGTAAGCCCTAACAAATATTAAAATCTTTTTTTAAAAATTAATTTTGTTGAAGATGGAACGGTCGGAAATTCGCACTATTATGAAGTAGTACATTAATAGTGTATTTGGCTCTAGTGTTACTACGCAAGCAGACAGTAAAAATTTTAATTTTTAGTTTAATAGTTAATTTAGTTTAATAATTAATGTAAATTTTGGGTTTATATTAGTTTATATATTTTATTTTGGTTTATACTTTTATTGATTTAATTTAGATTTTAGAACCAAATTGGTTCGCCAAATTTCGTACAGGTAACTTTGACCTCGCAAACGAGCCACGCGGTTGTCCATAATTAAAGGTTATCACACCTGTCTAGCGCCGGTGTGATCCGTTATGATTTCATGAAACCTGGCTCATCGATCACAGCAGAAATATACTGCAATCAAGTAGACGAAAAAGAAAACTGAAAGAAAAACTTAAGGGATATCAGCCTAGATTGGTCAACAGATCAACTCCTATCTTATTGCACGATAACACTAGACCACACACTGCACAAATAACTGTGGCAAAACTACAGGAATTGGAGTTGCAACTTCTTCATCATCCTCCATACTCACCAGACATAGCCCCCACTGACTACCACTTCTTCTACAATTTGCACAACTTTTTGATAGCAAAACAATTTAATTCCGACAGTTTACTGTTAAACTTACCTTCCAAGAATTCATTGACCCTCGTCCGCCAGGGTTTTATACCACCGGCCTGAACAACTTGCCGCTTAAATGGCAAAAGTGTATAGACAATATAGGTGCATACTTTGATGAATAAAATAATTCCTTATATTTGTAAGTTATATGAACCAACTTCGCCTTCTTTTCTACAAATGTCATCCTTGACGACCTGATAATATCAGAAACTGTAAAAGAGAAATCAGAAACCAGTCATTTTAACTGCTCTAATTGTGCTAGCGTTAATAATAAAAAAATACGATAGACAATGTTAGCCCCGATTGTTGAATTTCGCGAATTACTTGGAGGGGTGGGAGTAATAAACGACAGCCCTCGACGAGTTCTTGAATCTCGAATTATCGAAATAGCTGTCCCCATTGTATTCTATCCGAGTGTTTCTCGTTGTATTTCCCGGAATCTTTGGAAGGCCCGAAAACGCCAGGGGTTGCCTGCGACAGTAATCGAGGTAAGACGGTATCGATTCGCGACCCTCGGAAGAACAAGCCCCGCAGGAGAACGAAGGACGAAAGGGGAGCGGGAGAAAAGACGTGAAGAGAGTACAAGTGGATACGAGTAAAACCGTCGTCTCGATGATTTCGTTTATAGGAGAATCGGTATCTTCGGTGGACATGTCACCGATCCTGATTGGCCTAGGAGGGACAGCGACCGGTTTGGGTTTAATCGTGACCGGCGTGCTGATGGCGCTTTGGAGGAAGCACGCCGCCACCCCCGCGAAACCGAAACCATCCCAGCAACCGAGCATCGCGACCTTCGCCGGCAAAGGCGAGGAGGAGGACGGGAATCCTGATCTCATACCCACCACCGCCTTGACCAATCATCTCATAGGTAGTACACCGAATGTATTCAGACTGTTTACCATTTTCATCGCAACATATGCTTGGATTAAGATATTAACCCTTTGCACTCCGCTGTCCCCTCTCGTGGGACATCGCATATATATATAAAATATCACTAATATATATATATAATTCTAGCATTAGTGATATTTTATATATATATATATATATGCGATGTTCCACGAGAGAGAGAGGGCACATATATATATATGATATATATAATAACTCGTAAACAAAGCCCCAGATTGCATTTTCGCAAAGGAAAAAGTTACTTCAAATGACCTCAGCTACCCTTCATTTTCGGTTGTTAAAATAATTGTGGAACACCCTGTGTATATATATATATATATATAATTCTAGCATTAGTGATATTTTATATATATATATGCGATGTCCCACGAGAGGGGACAGCGGAGTGCAAAGGGTATATATATATATATAATTCTAGCATTAGTGATATTTTATATTATATTTAGTGATATTTTACATTATACTATTAGCATAGTTTATTAGTGATTGCGGGGAATTGAGTTATTTCAGCGCAACTTTTTCAGACACGCATGTTTCCCTGAAGCTTTCTCTTGAAACGGCACAAGAAATCAAATCAAAATACAGGGTTCCCCGGAAAGAATCGTCCGATTTCAAAAATTTATATTTTAAAAAATTACACACAGAAAATTATCATTCAAACACGAATATAACGGGAAAATGTGCGAGTTTTACTTTTTATTATTTTTTTTTTATGTACCAAACCGTTGGATTGGTCGCAGTTCATCCGATAATATGGTTCTACACAGTTGGCCTCCGAGATCACCCGACCTAACCCCATGCGACTTCTTCCTTTGGGGATTTGTGAAGGATCTTGTCTTTGTACCACCTTTACCTACAAGTGTAAATGAACTGAAAAAACGCATTNATATAGCGGGAAAATGTGCGAGTTTTACTTTTTATTATTTTTTTTTTATGTACCAAACCGTTGGATTGGTCGCAGTTCATCCGATAATATGGTTCTACACAGTTGGCCTCCGAGATCACCCGACCTAACCCCATGCGACTTCTTCCTTTGGGGATTTGTGAAGGATCTTGTCTTTGTACCACCTTCACCTACAAGTGTAAATGAACTGAAAAAACGCATTTGTGATGCTGTACAAACAATTACCAGAGATACGTTACACCGTGTTCGGCAAGAACTTTCATATCGCAATGATGTCATACGTGTAACGAAAGGAAGTCATATCGAACACTTGTAAACTAAAACTCGCACATTTTCCCGTTATATTCGTGTTTGAATTATAATTTTCTGTGTGTAATTTTGTAAAATGTAAATTTTTGAAATCGCATGATTCTTTCCGGGGAACCCTGTATAATAAACTTAGTCCCTCGAATATCTTCAAAAAATTCAAGCCATTTCGTTGAATTTGAAAAAAGTTATTCTGTTTTCAGAGGTGTTCCAATATAAAAATGTGAGACCGTAGAAGAGTTTAAGGCGAGCAGATCAAATTTTACGCGATATGAATTATGCACCAGTTCGTAGAATAAAATAAAATGTAGTAAAAGGCGTATGAACGCGTCAGGACGTGTTCAACGATCTTTTCTTTTCAATCCAAGTAACAGCAAAATTAAAAAAAAGAAAGCTTTTTAGCCATCGTCTAGTAGACTAGTCCCTCTGTCATCTAAAAAGAATTCAAACCATTTAGTACAGTTTTAAAATAATTATTGCGTTTTAAAAGATGTACGAACACCATTGTGGGCCACTGTATATCTGCGAATAATGGATTCTCGTGACTGTCGCGACAACAAATGTGCCCATAATTATGAAAGTGATCTAAGTCAAAATTTAAAAAAAAATGAATTTATCACTTATTTCACACGACATGATTTTAAGCTAAATTTATTCAATGTAATTTTTACGATATCGTCAAAAATGAACCTTTAGATAGTAGTTGTAATTACAACGTTATACGGAATTCGTTTAGTGTTAATTATGAAAGTGGTCTAAGTCAACAATTGAAAGAAATTATATAATAAAAATCATATGATAAAAATGGATTACTTTTTAAAAATGATTAATAAATGTTTATGAATTATTTCGTTAAAGTTGTCGTTTCAAATGGACCGTTTATTTTGAAAGTGGTATAAGTTCTTTTTTTCAAAGAAATTCAAAACGCCGAATCTGAGCTTGTATCGTCTAAATACCCCGCGCAACGCCACTTACAATTTCTTTCGATGACATTGGACTTACACCACTTTCAAAATAAACGGCTCAAATATAAAAATCACAATTTTTTATTATTTTAAGTCAATTATAGGACATTCAGTTAATTTTGAAAATGGTCTAAGTCAATTCAAACTTTAAAAACAACATTTTCCTATAAAATTCGCACAAAATGTCATATCTACAATAAATTTCCATTAATCAAGACTGATAAAATTATAAATTAAAATGTCGCATAATGTACAAATATTTTTTAACTTATTCAAATGCGATTCATTAAATATCTCGAAACAAGAAATATATGACTTAGACCACTTTCATAATTATGGGCACAAATAATTTCCTCGATGTCGTTTGCACAAACGGGACGATTCGACTTGAAAGTATCCCGAGGAACCTCTCCTAGAGGAGAAATCTAAGGTTAAGCTTCGTATACTCGCCACGGCCTTGACCAATCATCCCCATAGGTAATACACCGTGTGTCCCTCAATTCCTCGGCGTCCGAATTCCTAAAACCTTGACACTTCCCGAATTGGAAAACCGTGCGGGGAAAAGTGCAGCGAATGTAGCAGCGACCGGGCTATCGAACGGCGCCCGATCCGTAAATGTATCCCGTGATACGAATAGCCTTCCGTCACGTTTGCTGAATTTTCTACTCCAAACTGATGAAAGTGCCCCGGCTAAACGAGAATCGTAAATACATCGGGTCGCGTCTTAAACCACAACCGGATGCTTACAAAACTCTCAAGGCAATTGCACCGGAGAAACGTTACATCGATCCAGGACGATGCAAGCTGTGCGCGCTGCTCCGCTGAAATTCGCCCCGGTCTTCCTTCGGTTTATTGTTTCGATGCCTGAAACGGCAATTAAACCGCAGATCTTTTACGCGGACCACCCGTCCCCGTGTCTCGGTTACACGAACACGCGGGAAATATGTCATTCGTCGGCTGAAAGGTTCGCAACGGCGGAAATAAAATAGAAATATTTTAGCACTGAAGGGAAGGTTAGCGAATCGGAGAGCGTGTTTGAGGTTACTATTAATGCAGTTTATTGAATTGTTATCGATGAGCGCGGGCGCGACTAGCGTGGTGTCGTAGGACTAGCAACTTAGGACAGACTGAGCCCTTGGAGTTGCGCGTTTGTCTCTTTTATAGTGGAAGAGAAGAAAGGAATAGATGGATCTTCGTAGGAAAGGAGAAAGTTGGGAAAGTCCCGTGCGGGTCGAGGTGTCCAGATGTGAGGAGAATTGTTTTATCAGGGGTGCGTGTTTTTTAGGGAATTTTGAGGATTAGGACCGGTACTTGTTTTATTGCTAGCGGCCGCGCTCAGGTAGAGGGATGCGACGCCACAATATAATTCGTTTCTCCGTTCGGGAACGCGTACGCTCGTATTTCAGTAATTTGCATATGACACGGACGAATGAAGATCCGCAATCTGCTAACAATATGTCCGCCATCTTTCCTATGAAATATGAAATGTACGCATTTCCTAGTCGAAGCTTTTCAGACGGATTTCGTCGAGCGACGTTGACAAGACCGAATGTATTTCGACTTTTTACCATTTCGATCATAGCATATGCTTGGATCAAGATATCAGTTCGTTCATTTCAATAAAAATTGAAACCGGGCCATCTTGGCCGGCTCGGTAGGTTCGGTGTTGACGTGTCACGGAAATAGTCAATTTTATGCACATCGTTATACATATAGTGGACAGCATAGTGATCAAAGAGCCTAAAGCTAAATTGTTTCAATATCTTATAATAGAGGCGCGTTGTTTTTGATCGCGCATTTTAACGATCAAGATAAACAGCGAAAGAGTAATCCCTCCCCAAAAAACACTTGCAATGCAATGTAAAAACACCAAGCAGTCGAGTGCTGTCGAAGATTTCTTTTTATTTTTTATTTCTTTTTTTTTAGTTGATTACTATTCCCATTCTGAATTTTTGTTATAACTTCTTAATAAAGCTCTACATGACCTATGTTTACATCACATTTTTTTCTTACTTTATGCCATAGAATATACTGACAAAGTTTGCACATTAAAACCTGGGACACCCTGTATACGTATATGCAAACTCTGGGATTCTCGCGACCGCCGCGACAATAAATGATTTCTTTGAAGTCGTTTGCGCAAACGGGACGATTCGAATTGAAAGTTTCTCCCGAGGAACCTCTCTCCTAGAGGAGAGAACTCTAAGGTTAAGCTCCCCTGAAACTTTTTTCAGATAGGAAGCTTTTACATTACGGGTCGCTGCCACGGAGGCCGCGACAGCTGGAGGGCCGGGAGATGTCCCACGATGTCGTGGAGGACTCGGATTATCCGCGAGCATCGCCAAACGTGAGTAATCGGATTCTCATCGGCGAGCCGGGCGTCGCGCGCTGCGAAAAACGAGGGGGTTTCAGCGCGAACGTCGATAAATCGAGATCGATGATGAATCGAAATCGGCCGGGAGAACGTTCCCTCCGCGCGGAGTGGCTACATATTTTACGGCCAAGCGACGCTCTTCTGTCTTTTTGCAGACGTTTTACAGCCTTCAGAGACCGCACCGATATTCGGAGACCGTGATTCGGAGCGCGGCGATACAGGAGAGCTGCATCTAAGAGACGGCCCCGAAGGAACGGGGGACCATGGGATCTTGGATCACCCTGGCCGTGACTGGACGGTGACTGACACGGGAAAAATCAAAAAAAGACTAAAGCCATGCTTACACGACACATTGTACACGTTTCAGCGTACGAAGACATTATTAGCCACGACAGAGAGAACAGTATGCCTTTGTAAATATTGTATATAAATAAAAACACATCGATTTCGTGTTACGCGGCTCGTCTCCCACCTGCGTTTCCGCGTCCCCCAAGGGCCCAAACATGCTATCGCGCTGTTCCCGGTCCGGTATCGGTCCACTAAAATATTCTTTCATTGATTTGTATCGCAGTGTACGGACTCCCGTTCCAGCGTTGTAAGCTTGTAACATAAAATTTCATTGTATTGTTCGCGTTATTTTATATCATGTACACATAGCTATTATTATGAGATTTCATTTATTGCGACATTTATTTCAAAAATATTTTTACCTGAGCGCATGTTCACCATGAATTTTACCTCGCGTCGAAGTTTCACGCCATGACACTGGAACTGAAAATTCTATCGGGTTGGCAACTAAGTAATTGCCGATTTCAGTTATAGATGTCTCTCACTCCCATTTTTATGATATCCGTAAATGTTATATTATAAAATTATTATTATTATTATGTTATTTTTTATTATCCGTGAATGTTAGCAACTGGACAAATTGAACGCGGCGGTCAAGGAAAAGCGACCAGAATTGGTCAATCGTAAAGGTGTCATTTTCCAGCAGGACAATGCTAGGCCGCACACGTCTTTGTCCACTCGGCAAAAATTGATGGATATTGGTTGGGAATTGATGTTACACCCACCATACAGCCTCGATCTCGCGTCATCGGATTACCACTTATTTCGATCCCTGGACAACTCCCTCCGTGGTAAAACTTTTAACGATGATGACGCTGTAAAATCTCACTTAACTCAGTTTTTGGCCGAAAAGGATCAGACTTTCTACGAGCGTGGAATTTTCAAGCTGTCGGAGAGATGGCAAAAGGTCATCGAACAAAATGGAAAATACATTACAGATTAAATCTTCGTTTCAAGTAAAAAAAAATTGTTTATTTCATTGAACAAATCGGCAATTACTTAGTTGCCAACCCAATATTTAAGAATTGATTGTAATATTCTAGAAATATAATAAGAAAATATATTATACAGTACTTTCTCTCTCTCTCTCTCTCTCTCTCTCTCTCTCTCTCTCTCTCTCCTCTCTCAATAATACGCATTCTTCTCCCACATCGCGCTCGAACACTTCTCCTGCATATTTTAAAAACGGCTCTCTTAATAGTTCGTCCAATACATATCCAAAATGATGCAAATTATTGTATTATAGAGAGTAATAATCAGGGTTCTTCATTTCCTGGAAATACAAACACCTTAAAGCTTCGTATGCCGAAATATTGGGAGAGAGTACTGTAGAATAAAATATAAATTTTATTTTCTCATTTATTTACACATAGACTAAAATTAAAAAGCAGTGGCGGTCATCGACACGTTCGATAAACCGTTTGACGCGCAGATTGTTGGGCCAGTGTATAATGCGAGCGACAATTTAGTATTTTATACTAAAATAAAGTATTTAGTATTTTATACTAAACGATAAAATTCGTACGGCAACTTAAAATAGAAGAAAAATTAACCCTTTGCGCTCGAATGGTCTTTGCACTCGAGGCGCCATTAAAAATTGTTATGTCACGTTTCAAAATAATTTCATTAATCAAATTTGTTCGTATTTACAGAGCTGTTGAAAGCATAACTGTTACATTAGGTCATATAAAATGGAAAAACCGTGGGTCGGAAAAACCATTTTAAATCTTGCGTTAATTCGGCTTTGAGTGCAACGAGTTAAAAGAATTGAAAAATGTCGATGTGTTAATCTATTGAAGTGATTAAAGAAAGAACAAATTTACTATATATAGTTTCTAGTTGTTGCAAATTAATGCAGACAATGTAATAACGTAGTCTAGCAATTACTCGCCTCAAGATCGATCGGCGCTGTAATTTGTCTGTCGCTCTTTTGTTTCGGTCGTATACCGTCAATCCATTCGTAACCGAGAACGGCACGATATTGGCACGGCGCGAAGTCGACCCGGTAGGATTTTACTGTACCGAGATCGGGCCGGGAACAGCGCGATAGTGTGTCTCAGTCCTAACTCTGCGCTTAACTTGTATTTGCATACGAAGTGAGAAATGCTCTCCCGAAGAAGAAAGAAGAAGCCGAGCCGAGCCGAACCGCGACCATTATCGTTGGTCCTTTCGGATTTGGTTCAAGTGTGCCGCGTCGTTCTCGCGGCGGTTTTAATGCAGCCGTGAAAAATGGAAACGACGGTGTAGACGACGAACAATAAGAATCTTTGGAAAGACGCGGCGAAAGGTGATCACACACGATCTACGGAAACTCGGCTCAAAAAAGATCCAGGCCAAGGAAAGGGCACGATTTGTCGCGCGAAAACGAGGCCGCGATAATCTTCGCTTCGGGACGCGGGAATCTCGGATACCTAAATGAGAGCTCTCGTCGTTGTTAGAACGGAATCTCTCTTGCGCTAAATGCACGCCGGACTGACCCGGTCCGGTTACGAATCACCGAAGCATCTTCGATCGAGGGTTATACACTAAATTCTCTCCGACTGACGCTCGGCTTGGAAACAAAATTGAACGATTTCGGAGGAGGAGCCGATACGATTCGAGCCTCGCGGCTTGCTTTTATGGTCGCCGATTGTCAGCAATTGTTCACATTTGTTTCCAAGCTGAGCGTCAATTAGGAAGAATTTACTGTACAGTAATGTCTCCCTAATTGACGGTCAGATTGTGCACAGAAATGGACAATTTGGGAAGAGGAGGTACGATTATTCGAGTATTGCAGCTCGTTTTTATAGTTGTTGACAATCGATAAAGAAACGAGCCACAAGGCACGAACAATCGTTTCTCCTCTTCCAAAATTGTCCATTTTTTTGGACAATCTGTGCGTCAATTAGACAGACATTACTGTACAGTAAATTCTCCCTAATTGACGCTCGGCTTGGAAACAAAAATGAACAACTTCGGAGGAGGAGCCGATACAATTCGAGCCTCGCGGCTTGCTTTTATGGTCGCCGATTGTCAGCAATTGTAAAAACGAGGTGTAAGGCTCGAATAATCGTATCTCCACTTCCCAAATTGTTCACATTTGTTTCCAAGCTGAGCGTAAATTAGAGAGAATTTACTGTACAGTAATGTCTCCCTAATTGACGCTCAGATTGTGCACAGAAATGGACAGTTTGGGAAGAGGAGATACGATTATTCGAGTATTGCAGCTCGTTTTTATGGTTGTTGACAATCGATAACCGTAAAAAAACGAGCCACAAGGCACGAACAATCGTATCTCCTCTTCCTAAATCGTCCATTTTTGTGGACAATCTGTGCGTCAATTAGACAGACATTACTGTACTTGCCACTTCGAAGACGTCCGCGTAAATAGGACGCGTTGTCCTGGAGATAATAGTCCGACGTTTCTATTCCGAGGACGTTTCAAAGTTTCAACTGCAGCACTCGTAGCTGAAACGTACAGAATGTAGATCGTCGTGACAGTATCTCGCGAATCGACGGGACGATGATCTTTGATATCTTTTATGATTGGAACCACACGATTTTGAATAAAAGTATACGAAGAAGGAATATTGGCGCGTGTCACTATCATTCACCCGTTTCCCATCCCAGAAATACTGGAGTTCCGAAGAAAGCTACCTGACGATTCTTTTTCGAGAATATTGATTTGTTTCAATAATGAAATCGTCGTTTAACACGTTGAATGCCATGGGGGTCACCGGTGACCGGCACTTAACTTGGCGGTGACGCCATGGGGGCGCCACCGGTGACCGGCGCGCCCAAATTGATAGAAATATATATGTAATTTAAAACAAATGTCAATATCTAAAATTTTGTATTATTACCATCGTCGATTCAAACGGTGACACCCCTGTCGCAATTAACATGTCAAAAACACACTGTAACTTATCTATTGCAGATAATATATCAACATTATAATATGTATCACATTTTAGCGGTTCGTTGAAAGTGTGTATATTTGGGCGAGAAAGAGAGGGGAGACGTTTCGTCCGGGGCCCGCTAGAGGACTCATCAGTAAGGCTATCAGTGTTTATTTATAAGGCATACGGAATTATAGCGGAACTTAAAAATAACTATAAAAATAAATGAAAAGTTCTTATAAAATATCGCAATACTAATGTATAGATGAACATTAAGATCTACAAATTATTATTTATTAGCCGGAGGAGTATCGGAAGATTACTTCTCGTTAAACTAATTATTGCATTGCACAGAAATGTCGCAAATGTATCTATTTCAGTCTTGCATCGTAATTTTTAAACTTAATTCTAAATATATACATACTTGCCTTAGACGTGGGGGTATCGGTAGGAAGGACGAAGTCTATATATATAGGAATCGAGGCGGATCGGTGCTAGCGGGAAGAGGAGCCATCTGCTGGCGGGTCTGGAAGTAGCCGCCACAACATAAAAGAAAATTCATCGTGGCACCACGGAGAATTTCTGTAAAACCGGCGTGACATTCAACGTGTTAATCGAGAACAATTCGAAAGTAAAAACACGCGTTACTTTGTACATCTTGTCGCTGAGTATTAGATCAATTTGGCTGTACAATGAATTATTATACGCGCTTACCACTTCGCGAATAATTTCGAATAGGAAATAACACGAAATTGAACGAGTCAATATTATTATAAGCAACATTGAAGAACGGAGTACTGCAGCGAGGAAGTGCGTCGGACGTATGTATGTTATGTTATACATATTTACACTGAAAGCAATTTCTCTGGTTAACGCTGCTTCAATCGCTTCTGCTGAGTTTAAAATTGTAAGGGAAATATATTCTTTCATTTTGTTTTTTCTTTTTAATATTATCGAATGCTAGGAAGAGACAGGAAAATAACCCTAAATATTACACAAATTAACTATAATTTAAGTTAATCGTTAGACATTGAGCTGTCGAGTGCGGTTGTTAACGAACCGAATCAAAATGAATCCCCACACACCATCGTTCCATTCGAAACGAATGATTCTTGCCACTCTAGCCACAAGGTACCACGAAAATTTCGGTAAGAATCATCTGCTCCGTAAAACCTTAATTCAGCGCCACTAGAGGTGGTGGCGAAACGCTGAAACTGTTGGGCAATGTGACCGACAAAATAAGATCTTAAATCTGTGTATCGCCGCAGCCTTCGACTCTAGCGGTAACTCGCCGAATTACTGACTGTGTTTCGCGGCCTGTAAGATTGCTATTTTATCGACTTCTTCAATCTTACATGATTTGACATTTATTTACACAATCTCACAGTTATATTATTCGTTTTATAGATATCATTTATGCGTAGGAAGTAGTTTATCTATCAAATGCCGAGGAACATCAGACCATATAATACATAGAATTAATTAAACAGAATTAACACAAATTAATTTTATTTATGATAAACCACCGTAACAAGTATTAAGAGCCTTTAAGATTTCTATTCTATCGGTTTTTTCCCTTTTATGGTAATACTAAAGTTAGTAATAAAATATTAAAATACATATTATATATTTACACAAAGTGGGTGCCCCATTGGATCCCTTCGTCGGTATTGATTGCACATAGCTTCGGTTCTACCGAACCGAGAGAAGCGAGCAGCGGAGCACATGGCGGCAAAACGTCGTGCACGTGTTGCCGATGAATATTTTCTCGGCCTGTTCGAAATGTAAATCGTTCCGACACTTCTATCGGACCGTTTCTTCTTCAGAAATGTCTACAGAATCCGATTCTGGGTAGAGCTTTCGTGCTGGACAAAGAACTTTTCGTAAAAATACAGAAATATTGAGTTGAATTGAGTTTTTTTCATTCGTAATAGAAAACGCCGGTGGTTCCATCTCGTATTGAACAAACAGCTACACAACCAGCTGAATCCATAAAGTCACGTGACTACCTTAGTCCGTTAAACTATTCGTCGAAATTACCGACTCTTGTATGTATCTCATCTCTGGTGCTGTCACATTGTATCCTAAAAGTATACAGATGTATAACCTCCAAACACACGAAATGCTAATTTTTTCTTATAACATATTTAATTTTTTCGCACACAAATTCTTGAAACTCCTAACGATATTTTGTTAATAAGAGAATTTAAATTACAATTTATGTCTAGCTGACAAGAATGTCCTACTTCAAGTATTTAACCTAAATTAATAGAGCACATTTGTATATTGTAACAATCTGTATTTTATTTCGTGAATAAACAATGTCTCAAACAGCCGATGAAGAAACAATCAAATTAGATCCTGCTAATATCTCCGAGGGCGAAACTTGTAAAAGCTGTGAAAGTTTGTGTGATCCGTATAAAAAACCAGCGTTGCGATGTGGTGGATGCTCGAGGAAAATTCATATAGGATGTTTGAAAAGAGGAAGCGTTCCAGTGTCCTTTGTGGGAGATGTATTTTTTGAATTGAATTGCTCTAATTGTAATCCATTTGGTGAGGAAACGGTAGTACGTAACAGAATGCCATGGTTGAATGTAATTGTATTGACTCTGTACAATTTACGAGAGAAATCAAGTGGTATCAGTAAAAGGGGGTACTTTCATTGGAAGTCTGATATCAGTACTTTTGTAGATCGTAATTGGGATTACTTGTTTAAAAAGACTGTGTAAGTTTTCATCCACAATTCTAAAGGAATATATTAATCGTCAACTGACTAGGCTTCTTATATTTACAGTAAACGAAAAAAGAACTGGATTGGTACCATATCTGGAACTCTTTCCCATTATAGCGGAATTTTTTTTAAGTCAGGAACAATAGAATTAGGAGAATCTGGATGGTGGAGGTTGATGGACAATGATCCACCTGAAATTCTCATTGCCAAAAGTAATTATACATATATAATGACATATACAATAGCACATATAATATTTAAAAGAGCAAAATGATATCTATAACATTGAATTATAGATGAAAAGATGATATTAGACCGTAAGAAACAAATTGGTAGCCAAGCAAAGTCATCAGGACGAACGTATAGTAGTCCAACTCCATCAGAATCAAGTATATCAGTTGGTGAAGATAATACTTGTGGAAATGAGTTACCAAAAAATGAGGGATGCTCTGTGTACTCACAACCCTATGCTCAATCTAACAAAACATTATTCGATCTCTTACTCGAAGAGAATGAACTAAGTACTATATATATATATACATACATCACAAACAAACATGAATAAATTATAAATGTATTCTTCAGTATTTTTTAATTCCAGATATGGATATCGAAGATGATTCGATACTCAACGAGCAGAGCGACACTCCATCTTTATCAGATTTAATAAGGGACTGCCAATATCAATCTAATAACTTCCATTTCTCCCAATTATTGGATGATTTTACAACTGAATGGGTATCTAATACAGATACTACATCTGAAAGTAATAGTAATTTTAAAACAGATCAGATGAAGGAGGAGGAAGAGGAAGAAGACGAAGAAGGAGAAGTGCTGTACGAAGCTGATAGTACAGATAGTATGAGTTCTATTCAGGAACAGCCACCAACTTCCTTGTTTAACGTAACAAATCACCGTCCGTGGCCGTGGCAAAGGAAGCATATTATAGGTAACTACATATTACTTTGGAGTCCCCTTTAGTTGAGATTCTGTACATTTATATTTATCTCTCTTTCATTTTACAGATGAGAAGGTACCACGCATGACATCTCAAGAAGAAGCTTACTTGTTGCAGCAAGTAAATAAGTCTGCGCTCAACTCCGCGCCTCCAGAGATCAGACGATTTTACAGAAAATTAGCTGTGAGAAAATTGAAACGCGAACACGGTTTACCTCTGTTAGATGTTGATAATTTTGGATTCAAAGCAGAAGAACCCCACAAATCGTTAAAAGATTCTGACAGAGTATTAGACCGATTCTTCGGCGATGATTTAGGATTATTTGAGCAAAGACTGCAAGGGTACAACGAACCGACGTCTGTACACAGTCCGTATACTAACAGACTTCTGAAGCCGTTCATAAGAAGAGATATTTCTTGCCGTCCGTTATGGTTAAAAGTAATGGAAGAACTTCGTAGTAAAGTAAATAAATCGAATCCTAGATGGAAACCGCCGCCAACAGCGCCGATTGATTATTCTTACGTTAGACCACAACACATACCTGCGATCAACAGTCTGTGCAGTCAGTTCTTTTGGCCTGGCATCGATTGTAAGTAAACATAGCAATTGCGTAACAATGTCGCATCATTAATAGTTATTTTTATATATACATCCAATTACATATACGATTTCTTTCAGTAACAGAATGTTTGCAGTATCCTGACTTTAGCTGCGTCGTGCTCTATAAGAAATTAGTCATAGGATTCGCGATTTTAGTTCCTGACGTTGGTTACAATGAAGCGTACATTTCATTTTTTTTAACCCGCCCCGAATGGCGCAAATCCGGCATCGGGACATTTATGTTGTATCATTTGATACAAACGTGTATGGGGAAGGATGTTACGTTACACGTTTCGGCAACCAACCCTGCGCTGATTTTGTACCAGAAATTTGGTTTTAAAGTGGAGGAGTTCATTCAGGATTTCTATGACAAATATATGCCTCTAAACTCAAAGGAATGTAGACATGCATTATTTTTACGACTGAGCAGATAGATGTAAATTGATCCTGCGCAATACACGTGAAATATACGAAATATTAACTTAAAAACAGTTGCTATTTTATCGCAACAATACCACTGTAATTACGTTTATACAATATCGATTTCAATCATATCGCCGTAATGTCATCGCATTATAATTATTACTACTTTACCATCTGAACTTTAGACTGTGTTGCTATTTCGATTACAGTGCGCTATCTAGAACAATTGGTGACCTTTTATTGTAAGTGATTTATATTGTAAAACAACTGCGGAGATTCCGATTGTCGCTTGCCTAAATAAAATCATTAATTTATTTGATTTCGTATAACTACTAAAATAAGATAGAGCTATTTATTCTTCCCTTGTGAACATTGGAATAAATGTAATGACTAAATCCACGAAGATTTTTACCAGTTCGATCATAAGACGTAATGCAAATGGAGGCAAAAATCATTTGGTTTTTAAAATCCCATGCTTATGAATAGTGGCGCCCTTCGTGGCGAAATCCTGAAACTCGTAAATAAATGCACAAGCCTCGAGAAATCGGTGGTATTGTAAGCGAAGTATTTATACAGGACACACTGCGGATTAACTGTGGCCAGATCCCTTTGTTGTAAATTTTACTTCCGCGAAAAGAAAGAGATCTTGATTTATTGTTGAAAAGTGATATATGACCGTCATAAAATTGATCGAACTAGCTCGGAACACCTAAATTTTGTTTCATACTTGGGCGTGAAGCAGCAGCGTGAAAGTGCAAGGAACTGATACCTGTGTTTTGCTTCACTTTACGTGTTACAAAAACAAGCAAAATATAATCGAGAAATCATAAAACACAAAAAGAATTTTACGAGAAATTCCCACAGTGTACGAATAAAGGTAAGCAATCGATTCCGTTAATCACACGAACATTCAATAAACTAGTGATCTTAAACTGCCAATGCCAGTAATTGGGATTTCCTGTAATACATATTAATTGTTTAGAATACGAGTTTCCTAGCACGGTTGAATTTCACGAACACGGTATACAATACATGCGCAGAATTCTTACGTCCACCCAGTATGTATCAATACAGTAATCGACTCACTTCAGACTATAAAGGAAGCAACACTTTCGTCGTGAATTTCTTATCTTTGCCAACGATTCTTCAAAATTATGACCTCGGAGCTCTGAATAAGAAATCAATTAGACCAGTAAAATTAAAGATTTCGACTGTACCGACCTTTCATCGACGAAACAGTTTGGATATTCGAATTTCCCGCGCTCGGCTAACGCTGACAGTTTCGATCTTTTATAAGAGAGGGGTTACTGACGTCATCAAATAAGCGCTACGGAACTGCCGTCAAGCCATTCTCGAAAGTTCCGGAAGCCGCCAGAAGGAAAGTTTGTATATATGGACGGCGCAGCTTACGCGACACTTTAGTACGTGACGAGAGGTGTTAAATGTTGTCTCGACTGATCTGTCAGAAGCGAGCATCTCTTTGGTCATAGTTACGTTTTACGGAGAACCCAGTGAACTCAGTGCCGATTGGATTTTCTGGTTCGAACGATTTCAAGAACGAAAATAGTAAGTATCGAGCTGGAAATGTGAACAACGAGATATGGATTCCACCCATAGAATCTGTGAGATGTTCGCGGAGGGGAAAAAAATATGGGTGGCGGGGATTCGCGTTCGCGTAGGCACGACGTATCGTTTTACCACAGTGGAAAAGAGATTTTCAAGGTGGAGAATCGGGACCAGTGTCGTGAACACGGATGAATTTATTTTTACGCTCGCTCGAAATCGTTGTAAGCTTGTAACAGCGGACACGTTCGTGGCTTATACGCGCTCATCATTGCCAGAAATAGATATCGGTGAGATATGTACGTGGGTGTGCGTTAGAACGATATCCATGCGCTCCTTTTTCCATGCATATATCGAGGAAAAAAGTGGCGAACCGTTGATATCGTCTTACTAGATATCCTTCTTACGGATGCACCTCGTTTGCCTCAACAACGAGGCTGCTCCTTTGTCGCGGACGATAGTGTCGACACGAGAGACGTCGTCTCTTCGACGTCTCGGAACTACGAAAGTCACTTCGTTAGCTTATAATTATATAGCTGTTTTCATAATCGCAGGAGATACACGTCGCGCAACCCAGTCGCCAGTCGATGTAACGTTCCAGCACGGTCAGGAGAAAACGGAGCAAGCTCGGAGAAACGGTTCTCTATTAGAAATTTCGTGTCTTAGGTTGGTAAACTTTAGTCTCGTGCTAATTGTGTCACATACGGAAGAATCTAGATTTTTTTAGTAGAACGAGAAATGTACACCGTCTCTACGAAGGAATTTCCGTGACCATACGCGGGTAAAAAATACGTATTTCCTTGCCCGAAGGTAATCCATGTGAGATGAAAGAAAAAAAACGTTCTTCGCCGTATGACGTCGAAGTCGTACTTGAAACTTCTGAAAGAGCCGTACTTTTATGGTCACGTTGCGTTAAACGCTGTTTCCGAAATCGTCGATGTTGGATGTCGCACTGATTCCAAAAAATATGAATACAGTGATGTAACAACATTGGGATTAGAGATATACTATCTGTGCCGTGATTTCGATATGTGCGAGACCGTCTCGGATGGGATCGATGATTTTTCAGTTTAACAGGAAAACACGCCCGGACACCGAATTACCTTTTATGTCTAACAAAACCGTACGCGATTTAGTGGAAAATGATTAAAATAAATTGGAGTAAACACATATAATTCAACTTCGCGCCGATTTGAAGGGATAGCACATAAAATGATTAAACGTAATTTAACAATTAGAAAGTAATGACACTCCTTATATTTCGAATTTTCGAAATAATCGATCGGAGTAGCTCGACAGAAAATCGCTGTTTGGTTCATTGAAAGGATTTTGGTCCTTTGTATGCTTTGCAGTTGGTTCATTGTTCTCGGACGTAAATTTATGCGCATATTAAGTATTTGTTGTCACAAAGGCAACACATCGATTTTATTCTTCTTTCTGATTGTTGCAGATTATTAATCGATGGGGAAGGATTATTATAAAATATTAGGCATAACAAAAAATGCCACAGACGACGAAATCAAGAAAGCCTACAGGAAATTAGCTTTGAAGTACCATCCTGATAAGAACAGGAATGCTGGGGCAGAGGAGAAGTTCAAGGAGATAGCAGAGGCTTATGAAGTGCTATCTGACTCCAAGAAGAGGGAGGTATATGACAAATATGGTGAAGAAGGGTTGAAGGGAGAAGGTGGATCAGCTGGAGGAGGGGCTGGTGGAAGAGGACCATACACCTTCCATGGAGATCCAAAGGCGACCTTTGCTCAATTCTTTGGCTCCGCGAGTCCTTTCAATCCCTTCTTCGAGTTTAATGGTCCATTAGGAAACAGTGTATTCAGTTTTCACGACGATGATATGGATATCGATGACCCGCTTGGCCTGGGAGTTGGAACAGGGCGTGCACGAGGACGTGCACAGAATGCCAGTGGACCGGGTGGAGCTTTCAGGTCACATTCGTTCAATTTTGTTGGACCAACGTCTGGCAGAGGAGGATCCAAAGATCGTGCTCAAGATCCTGCCATAGAACACGACTTATGCATCAGCTTGGAGGAGATTTTAACTGGATGCACGAAGAAGATGAAGATCTCTAGGCGGGTTGTACAACAGGACGGAACCACCAAGAAGGAAGACAAAGTCTTAACAATCTATGTAAAGCCAGGATGGAAGGCTGGCACAAAAATTACTTTCCAGAAAGAAGGCGACCAAGGTCGTGGAAAAGTACCAGCGGACATAGTTTTCATCATCAGGGACAAGCCACATCTACAATTCAGAAGAGAGGGCAGCGACATAAGATACACTTGCAAGATGAGCTTGAAGCAGGCGTTGTGCGGCACCGTTATTGAAGTTCCTACGTTAACCGGCGAGAAGATCACGTTAAATCTGATGGGAAAAATCGTAAAACCAAACTCGGTCCACAGGATTCAAGGTCACGGCCTACCATTCCCTAAAGAACCATCAAGGAAAGGCGACCTTCTGGTTTCGTTCGATATCAAGTTCCCCGATGCGTTAACGCAAAGTGCTAAGGACATATTGTTCGATACTCTGCCAAACTGAACACGTAAATCGAAGGAAACAAAAAAACCATATATGGATAATTGTCATCACAACGACAGTCCTCTAATCGTCCCGATTAATGAGAGTAAACACTCGTGTACGTTCTAGTACATATTGCGTGGTTAGAGAGCTGTGAAAAATATATTTGTTGAGGCAAGGCAAATAATAATAATTTCATCTCATGGTTAGGGAAAATGTGATTTTCACGTTAGTCAGATGTAAAAAAAAAGAAGAAAAGAAAATTAGTTTTTCCTATTTGAATTTGTGCGCAAGTTCGTTTTTTTCGTTAGAAATCTCGAACGAAAAAAAGAAGTATAACATGATAGAGGATGTAAATTGCTTTCTTAGTACAATGACACGGTACTTTGTCTCTTCGCGCAGAAAGAAAGATCCTAAATACTGACACTAAGAATAAATATATTACATTAATTTAAATGCGATTTTTCGACGAGAGTTTGTTGCAGTGCAACTACGTGTGAATGGAAGTTTAAATTCGTTCATTCTGTACATTCAGAGTATGTAGTCTATTGCATATGTGTTGGAACGAATGAGAGATGGTGTATGAATGGTATGTATTATGTTCATAGTATAAATGTGTGGAAATGTCTGGCCACATGAAAGTGACAAACTCTGCGGAATATGACGAACGAACCACTATCGTTGCCCAATCATTCACGTAGTGTAATCATACTTTTCAATTCCCATCTAAATACAAGCCTCCACACGATGACAGCCCAAAGGACTGTAGCATCAAAATATTTCAAAGTGAAATTAGTAAAAAAATATCTAATCAGCATCCTTTGCACGTTCGACAACGATTAGTGAAACGTTTTGTCATATCGAGAAGCAGTCGTGCGCGTGAAAAAAATAACTCTTTGTAATATCGAGCTGATTGTTTTTCTTATGTCGTGCGTTTTCTTAATTTTAATGGTTGGTTAATTATTTGTACGCTAAAAATAATATCGATACAATTAAATCCACAGATACGTTCCGTATTTTTTTATTTGATCCTTTTGTCTCTCGATACTCGCTCCTACGCTGGATATAACGTCGGGACACTCTTAAAATAGGCCCCGAAGTGGGTGACGTCATCGTCCTATCTCCCAACTCCCGAGATACTTTCACACACAGCTGCATGGGTGAAACGGTAGGATCCCGATGCAAAATACGTGCACGCGTGTATTTATATAAACTCACGTTTCCCCCTCGTTTTTCGCTTGGCGCGCGCGCTACGCACGTAAACGATTAGCGTATAATTCCCGGCGTAATCATACTTGCACCGCATGCTCGAACGGCGGTTGGGGTTAGATAATAATAACTCGGACACCGGAACGCGGGAGTAGGTGGACAGGTCAAAAATACGCGTGTGTGTATCGAGCCTTTGACACGGTCTCGAATCGCGCGATCAATGATTCCGAATCGAATTTCGTAACAAATAATTCTACCGTTACGATCGTTGATTCTTAAATATACGTACGTGCAAGAATAAAAAAGGAACCGCTTTAAATCAAACCGATCAGTCCCATGTTAAGAAAGAACTTCGTCGTTATTTCTTCAAGTGTTGCAGGTCGAAGTCAGTCTCCAGCGGCGAATTCGCCAACTCGACGTAGTCTTTATCGATCCATTCGTCCTCGTCGGGCGGAAATCCAATACCGCCAGACAAAGAGGTCAAGAGTGGCCGGCCGTCCGGCCCCAGGCTGAAATACTTGATCACCTGGTCGTCGAGATGCAGCCCGTCCTTATGCGCGTTCTGGGGCCCGAACTGAGCATCGTCCCACAGCCGGCCCTTCAGCGTCGTCTTACCGAAACGAAAGTTCTCCGGCAAACAATGATGCTGCCGACAAAAATAATTTTGTCCCTGCTCAGCGTGGCACCATGTACCATCCGGGTAGTATGGGTCAAGGCCAAGGTCGTTTAATTCGACACGCGGCGTGTAATAAGATGCTATGTCTTTTCGCCGACAGAATATAGCGCAGGCCATCCATGGCCTTTCGGGCTCGTGCGGTGCTTGCAGCCCGCCACCCTTGCCGTCCAATTCTGGCAGACTTTCGCTGAACTCCGCGCACCTAAGCGTCGCGAAGTCCACGCTACTCCTACGCTTCTTCTTGCTACAGAGTTTGTCGTCCCTGCAGAGGACGACATCGTACCGCGGCCCCTGACAGTCTGTTTCCGCGTTCTCCGGTGTCGGGCTATTGCAGAAGCGACGCCTGCTCCTGGCACCACTCGACTTCAATAGGCAGCCGCTGCTGCAGGCTCCCGGGATCCATTCGCTCCATCCTACGGGCCTCGCTTGGGGCAGCTGGGGCCCGTAGGGATCTGTTCCTGAAACGATTTGCAACGCATTCTTACACTCGCCGCCCCGGCATTCTTTTCCAGGCGCACAGTAAGTCCCATCCAAAGCTGGCCCGGCGATGTAGTAGCCGCTTCTATGGGGCGTCTTGCACTGCAACGCCTCGCAAGCGTTGTACAAGGTTGCTACCGTGGCATCCTTGTCCCGTAGCAGCACCTCGCACTGCTTCTTCGCCGTCCATACTCTTCCAGGCAGATCGAAGAACCTCGCATGGTCCAGCCGATCGTTCGGCCGCTTGTAGGGTCTATCTTTCAAGCAAGGCTTCGTGTAGGTTAGCTTCTCGGCTACTTCTCGGCTGCATTTCGACCAGACCGTCTCGCCGTGGGTGCCCCTGCTCGGCGACATTATGTAGCCATCCTTGGGACAGGCGTTCCCTGTCGAATCGTGGTGCATCCCTAGGCTTTTTGGGGAACGAGATCATCTTTTGTCTTGGTTTTTTTATCCCGACGGTGATATTCGATACTTACTTGTGACCGATCTCGTGCGCGGCAATGTAGACGGATGTAAATCCTGCGGACGGAAAGGGCTTGCCGAACTGATTGGTGACACCCAGTTCAGCTATAACGCAAGAATACTGATCGATGCACACTCCGCCGACCGTTGCAAGACCCATGGTAGCGCTGTTCTTCTGTCCAGCCTCTACGGCGTAGAAATCCAGTCCGGAGACATAGAGCCCCATGTCCCAATGATCGGGATGGTATTCGTCCTTCTGGTTCTTCTTCATGGCGTAGTTGCAGAAAGAATCTAACAAGCTACCCCTCTCGCCGTCGAAATGGGGCAGATCTCGGGGCTGCTTCTGCATAATCTCCAGCCTCACGAGGGAGATGTCGATTAAGATTCCTAAACTGGGATGATGGTAGACTGCTTGAACACCGTTTATGTAAGCCAACATCATGTCCCGGATGTCCTCGTCGTTCCTGTCGAAGAAGGGCGAGAAAAGCTTGTAGCCAGGCTCGTCAAAAAAGACCGCCAATTCCAAAGTTAAAGCTTCTTCGAGATTGTTGTTTCTGATCTCTTTAGGTTCTCCTTCGTCGAGGACATTGTTATCGAAACCATTTCGCTTGTAATGTTTGAGTTCGTCCTCGAAGAGGATGAACGGAGCTTGGGCCCTTTTAACGATATGCGGCTCTCCGAGTGACTCCGAACGTTGTTTGATACGATGATCGTTGAAAAAGGAAATATCCTCGGTTTGCAACGGTGTTATTTCGAAGGTGATATTGTCCAGGAAGACCAGACCGTGCTACGGCGACAAAGGACACCATTTTGTCAGAGATTTTTCTCTTCATTTGCGATGCTTAATTTTGTTTGTTGCCGTTAAAAATGCAATACTGACCATGCCGCGTTCCTTACAGAGACTAATGGCTGCCGAACTATAGTCGTTCCGGTGCAAATAATGACAAGAAGACGGCTCCCTCAGATCCTGCAACTCTTCTAGGTCGTCGTCTTCGTTGTGCTTCCAAACACGAAAATTCGGCGTCACGATTCTATCGTTTCTACGTAGTCTCAAGTTAACGGATCGATCGAAAGCCTTAAAACTTAGCGGTACCTGCAATTTATTTATGCAGGGAATTCCCAGAAGTAAAAGTGAACGAGAACCGTCACAGAGAATGGTATTCAGTGACCTAAGCATCATTCACTATTTCCATTGAGCATACATTATTTAACACTTTATCTGCCGGCGGTTACTTAATGGTCTTTTAAACGATCGACCGTTAATAGCAAAGAATTTCTTAATAAGCAATTTCGTCTGTAAACCAACAAATTATCTCTCAATACATATGATTTAATAGTATTTTTTAAAAGAAATATATCTTCAGCAGAAACATCGTCGAGCGATTTCATTATCTCCTTTATCGAACTATTAAATCATAACTGAAGGAACTCCACACTATTACCAGTGTTCAGAAATAGCAAATCAAAGTAACAGAGGCAATTAGTAATTGATAGATACACGAGTCAAGCTGTACTCTTAATTATCTTCAAACGCGAACTGTGCGCTGCAGATTTTGTTCTCGCCGGTTCTGTACGTACGTCTTAATCTTTACCCTAAATGGTCACGGTAGTAATGTTTTATTAACGAGTACGATCGTCTACCTCCGCGCTGTCCTCCGTGTTCCATAATGGTAGCAAAACGATTTCCGTGTCCCCGGTGTCCCACCTGGCTGCTGCACCCAGCGAAGCCAGCAATATTGTTTTTAACACGAAGGCCATATTATGGTCGTTAGATTTCAAGTTCAAGTACGCGCAAGAATGACGGACATGTTCTTATATACTCGAGTGGGTGCATAACGCATTGCGAAACCCGTATGTCGTTTATCATTGCAAAAACGTGCACAATATGAGCTGTAATGCTGGCACCTGTATCACGGAGAGGTCATTCACATCGAGATCTGAATGAATTAAACAATACTAGCTCTAGAATGGCATGCATCGCTGACTTTTACCCTCACCGGTTATTTTTAATATGTATCACTTGAGAGAAGACCATTAATACAATTTCCTATGATTGTACCATATTTATAGAAGCTAAGCGTTTCTCTTCTAAATAATAATTCTATAAGAATTTCGGATGAATCCGCCTCCTAAAAATACAAAAAGGCAATTAACTTCGACAAATTGGAACCTCTTTCAATTCTGCGCACAGTTTGCGTATAATTACATTCCCAGGACCGTTTCGGAGATTTGTTGTAATTCCGTGCACAGCCCCCCCCCCCCCTAAGTCCATTCTCTTCTCTGCGCAAAAATTGCATAGAAAACGCTCCGAAATATACATACCAATTTTGAGCAAATAGTTTTCTTTACAATACACGAAGAAACAAATTGTTCGATAATTCAACAAACATCTGCGCCAGTATGGAAGTAACGCAGGAATTTATGCAACACCAGAATAAGGTAGAAAACATTTTTAAGAATACAATGAGCTCATTGTGATGGATCGGTTAAGAATGTAGTGAGTTAAGTGAAAAATGTAGTATATTTGAATGCATTTGTTGCTCGACGTACAAAATTGATGCTATAGGAAATATAATCTGTTTTCAGGTAGAACTTTGTACTTTGTTGCATTTTGCAGTATACACGTATCTGCATACATACATGTCGAAAGATATCATTTTACCGCTTTTCTAGACGTTTTCGGCGTCACTCACTCACATGAAAAACGAATTATTACACCTAGATGTAACTAGATCCATTACAACAGAAATTCTTCATATTGTATCGATTACAACGGGCATAATCAAACAACATCTGAATGGATGATATACGCTTAAAAATGTGTCCTCCGTTCTATGCTTGTGTTTGTCGATTCTCTTCTCGTCGCGCTCCAAACGGAAATCGAAACAGAAAATTGTTCAGCACACTGCACACAAGTTTCCTTATTTCCGCAAGGTAACCGTGATTCGTAAAATTCTGTGTCGTCGTGTGACAATAATTACAATCGCCGGGAAGGTGGGAATGAAAGAGAAAACTATCTGCATCTGCTTGTTACAAAAACCTTAGTATTAAAATATTTCAATAAAAACAATAAATAATCATGATCAATAATAAAATTAATAGAAGATTCGGCAGTGTATATAACACGCTAAACTTGGCAGGTGCCTACATCGTTATTTAATCGTTTATGTGTTAATGTATACGTCGGAGGGGGTTGGGAGGATCGGGGTGGGAGAAGAGAGGATTATTAAATAATTCGATAACTAATTACAATTATATACGGCGAGCCGGTCAAGTTATTCCTTTTTTACAAGATTCATCGAATGACGATTGCTCGGAATTGTGTTCTCGTTTTTTCCTGTTTTCCTTGCTTTTTTTTTACAACATTCCGATACTGCTATATATACGACACAGTGACTAAAAAAATCTTTTATACATAGACGCGCATAGTCGATGTTGCGTCGCATCTATTTACAAATTTATTCTCGAATTCGGCGGCGATCGTTGCTATCGATCCGAACGAGCACCGCCGACAAATCACCGGTTTCAACTTTTCTACTCGATAAACACGCAGAGATCATTCTTTGGATGCATTCTGCACAATCTTACAAATCAGTGGGTAAATTTGTGCCGAAAATGAGAAAACGAATTAACTTTCGGTGAAATGACTATTCTTTTCACTGTCTGCCACCGTAACGTTCTATCAGCGGCAGTGAACACTTCAATATAAAACCTTCCTGAAACGATGGAAGATTGTTGATGGAGGACCATCGCAGACACTATTAGACTTTTAGAAAACTTCCTGTATGTACAATTTTAACTCTAATACTAAGAATAAATCTACAAAACACATATTAGTTACTGATATATTGACTTTTAAAGAGTTCAATTAAACTGTCACTCTAAATTTTTATTTCAGAATAAAATTCGTATTCATTGAATACTTCTGCAATTTGTTTACAAACCACCGAAAAATATCGTAAAAGTGTATCAGACATTTTTCGTCACTATCTGTGTATAAAATACAATGTCATGTTTGTACAACGAGATTTCTCATTACTCGCACATTGTATATTATCTGCTAGTATTACGGAATAACTAAAACACTTTTGAAATACTAGCTGGAATGAGAACATTTGTACAGAATTTAGAATCTCAACCAGCAGTACCGTTCTACTTTTGGTATTGACTATTTTTGGCATAAGATTAGGTGTGGTCACATTCTGCTATTGAAACCTATTTTATTGTTATTATTTACTCCCGCAATTCTTGCCGGAGTACCACTTTTCCGATTATTGTGATCCTTATCGGGCAATTTACATATACGATTTGCTCTTAATTTTATTTGTCCTCTTTATTATTACTTACTTAGGTGAGCGATATATGTATTGAGTTCAGAAGATGGGCCCAATGAATTCGATTAATTTTCTGTTAGTAACTGTACCTTCGGAACATTTTCAAGTGGTTTGTATCTAAACCAAAACATTTTGAATAATTAAAATAGAATTTATGAAGTTTTATAAAAATCTAAAGCGTACCTGGAACAGCCCCCTAATGAGAGCCGCGTGTATAAAACTTACGGCGAGTATTTGCTACGAACACACATAGGTTTTGGTAGCTTCTGTCCACATTGTTTCGTTCACCAACTATCGTCAACGTGCAGCATCCATAATACATGGCACATTTTTTGCACAGCGCTTCTCTTCTACTTTCCTTTTTTACTGCACTACAAACGTGTGACAGCGATGTACCATAATTACAGACGCGCATTACAAACCGTTCGATTATCCTTCTGGGAATATAATCTCTATGGTATAATAGCATATATTTACGAAGGCAAACACATTCTCACCGTATGTCATATATCAAATAGTTAATATTTATCCCCTAGACTCGATTTATCTGTTTTTTTTTTTTGCTTTACCCAGAAAACTGCAATGGGCTAATAATATTAAGTGTTAAAATGCTTATCAGTGAGTAATGTATAACAGTGTGACTTCGCGTTTTTTCTTCACCTTCACATCTCTTCGATATACGCGGGTGTATACAGCTAAATATTAAATAGCTTCTTTACCATTGAAATAGATTTTCAATTTCGCAGTACATTTAGCCTCGTAAATTTTCTCCATAGAAATAAATATATATTTCTTCATGAAATATAAAAAAATAAAACAAATTACCGAGCTCTCTGTCTTAGCTCAGACATCACTTTCTCTAGTACGAAACAAAGATCTAATAAAACTTGAATGCGATTTGCCCGCATTCGATTCAAGTGTCGAATGTACTGCAACATTGTACGCATTATTTAATAATAATAATAATAATAATAATAATAATAATAAAAATTACTTTAACCGTACTACAAGGAGCAGGGGAGAGTAATAACATTGTTATCATCAAAAGAAATGATACATCATCCGCAATCAAGAAACGCAGACGGCATTCTCTCAATTCTGCAAACCTAACAACCGTAAGAGAAATCCTTAGTTAAAAAGCTTCATACTCAATGATTACAAGTATAAAAGTCGGATTAAGATTGTTCGTCATTCGAAGGCCACTGTCCTGAATGATTCCAATCCCAATCCTTGCCTTTAGGACGAAACTTACTGGTGCCTCCAGAGTTATTCCAATCTCTATGAAAAAACTTTTTCTTAAAATGATGCCGTTCAGGGTCGGGTTGACGTTGATACTTCAGCGGCACCGAGGATGCGCTGTTGCCGGTGCTGTTGGAGGGATTTGGTGGTCGAGGGCTGGTTGGTGAAGGAGTTCTAGGAGGTCCTAGTGCTTCATCGGGAGAGGGAATCACTGGTGGAGGTCCTGTGACAGCACTATCAGAACCTAGTCCGCTGTCAGGACTCGTGTTCACTCCCTCGGTAGATCTTCTTCGTTTGTCCAGCTCGGTAGAGGCGAATGCGACCAATCTATCGAACCCAGAACTGATTCTATCCTGCCAATCCGCTTCTCCGTCTGAAAAACACGTGTTAGTTAGCCAATTTCATCGATTAGTCTTCACAATATTCTGACAAATTTTCATAAAAATAAGCCAAGAACATTTCTCAATTGCAGTAACGTCTACTGTCAAGTAGTTTGTCATACATCATTGTATGCATGTGCAGAAGTATAGTTATATAATGTTCCGTATGGAAGAATTAATAAAAGGAAGTATGATGAAATAGTGGTATGTAAAAAATAGAAAGAAGAATAGTGTTTCTTGTCATGCTTACTGATGAAAGAAAAAGGTTGAAAGAAAGTGGAGAATATTGTAAGAGTAAAAAAGTTTTATTTATTTAAGTGTAACTCTACTTAAAGTACAACTTATGAATTACATATCTGCTGCATATGTACATGTTTACAAGGAAGGAATATATTCATGCAAGAAGAACATGCACTAAAATTATGAAAACCCATTGACTAAGGTAGATTGTTACCCATGGAAATCATCAGCATGCTTTGTTTTTTCTGTCTGGATTTCTTATATGTACGAGTATGCTGTAATTGTTAAACAACTTTCTTCGAAGAGACCGTGTCCAAGTTTGGCTTATTTTCATGGAAATATTTCTTTTTTTTTACTATTATTTGGTATCCTCTTTCTTCTATGAGATATAATAGTGGATAAAAATGCTATGTTTTGCAATGGCTGTAATAACGAAAATTAAAGAAAAAAAATGGAAAAAAAATTTTGAACAACCCCTGTGGGCAACTCACCAGCAACCACGAACCAACCCACAGGCAGCCATACATTTTCATTTCTCCCTCTGACTTGTGTCTCAATCTCTAATAAAACAAGCTTCAAGGGTTGTGAGTGAGACTGAGTATGTGACAGACAGAGCTAACCAACAAACAGCTACAGTGCATCTAACAAATACAGCAAACAACAACAAAAATAAATATAAATAAAGATCGGGTACCAACACCATAAGAATAAGGTAAACCTTAGACAACAATTTTGAACCATTAGTGCGTCAAAAAAAGAAAATGATAGAAGATGCATAGCAGAATCTAACAGTGTGTGGAAAAAAGATAAAGCAGAGTATTTTTAGTAAAAGGTTTGTAAAATACAGGAATATAGAAAAAAAAATAAAAGAGTACTGAAAGAATAAATAAATCATATTATAAGTGCAGGATCGAACTACTGATAATAGAAAGTAAAATATAGAACTTAACTTATTTTGGAGAACTTTTCTAGTCTATTACTAGCTTTATAATTCATTTCATTACACTGTTCAAAACCAGTATATTATTTCTTTATAAATAGATTACGGATCTTTTGCCAAAATAAAATGAAATAAAAAATAAAAGAAGAATGCATAGAGATCCACAATCTATTTGTAATCTACGTGTAATCTCAACTTTACATTGTCATCTCTTCAGCCAGCCAATACAGAAAGCATATTGAAAAAAAAACTTGAGTGTATACATTCCAAAGCATTTCCTAATCCTGCAATCGTAGGAGAACACGTTACAGGAAATATAATGTGAAAATACGGGATGCTGTTCTGCTTACCATCGTCGCCAATACCGTTTCGTTGCCTCTGCGTGGTCATTTGGGGTTCATCGACTAGTGGCGTAGATGTATTCGAGTGCGGTTCTACCAGAGGACTCAATGGTGCTCCGCTTGTGCTTATTGACGATACGACCGCCTCTGTTTTTACTGGCATCGAAGGCTGTGATTGACAAATGGCCGTTACAATGCAATTCGTAGTCGTACTACCATTACTGTTACTACTAGTTGCATATCTAGGATATGGTTGAAATCTACAACAAAGGAAACATGTGTTACATACTGTTTTTAAAATATGAATGTCATGAACGATTCGATGAGAAAAGGAAAACAAAGCTTAGCAGAAGTTGCAATACCTTCGACTTGTAGAAAGCATTGACTCGTTTTTAACGTTATGATTGTTTAATATGCGAGCATGTAGGGACGCTGCCAGTCCTTCTACTGGCAGAACTTCACCGTTCGATCCAGCCTGAGACGAGTGCAAAGGTGGCGGAGGATGAGATTGTGCAAGATTTTGAGAAGGATTGTCAGTGAAATACGATTCATGGTATGGTTTGATATCTGCACGAGGTAATTGAACTGGTGTATACCTGCAAAAAAGAAAGGATGTAAATTATAGTGGAATCTCTCCGGGATCATTTTCAGGCATACATGTACAATACCTCTGAGCCTGTGTTACAGGTGTGAATAATACAGATGATCTCGAAGTGGCAGTTGGAGTGCAGGTTGAAACTGCTGAAGAAGTTGGTGCATAACTTGCTACGTGCGCGAGGGTTGATAAACCAGCATCACCCTCTGCGCTAGCAGGTCTGCTGATGGGGGAATATACAGTTTCCGGTCTTATCATCGCGCTCATGTCAACGGCAGCATTTATTATGGATTGATTGGAAATTTCAAGCGTCCTCTCTATTTCTCCACTGACCAAATCACCGATTGTCCTAGTGCCGAGCAATCCATTTCCTCCTGCTACAATACGATTGTCATGACTCGGTTGCCTGGAGTCGATTGTTGGCCTATCAGATGGTGTTAAGTGAGATGAAAGGCGTTCTTGGGAGAGATGACGGCGAAGTGCTAACTTTGCAGGTGAAACCTACAATGATATTCATCCTTGAGTAATTCCTGGGACTATGATTCTATGATGAACACACAAATAATGGTTATAAAAGAAATACAGTGTTACTAATTCGAACAAATTACCTGTGTATAATCAGGGGTTGAAACATTTTGTGGTAACGCGATACGTTTTCTATCGGGCTCAGTCTGATTTTGTAATTGCATTTGTTGCTGTTTATTTCTATTTTGTTGATCTTCGTTCAAGACACTTGTGATTATACTTTTTAGCCTATCCTCAAAGTTCGCGACCCTGGGTGGCTCCTGGGTCCTATTTGCTGTTTCCTTATTACTCGTTTGTGGTATCGAGGATGATATCGAAGATGACGAAGTCGTAGAAAAGCTAAGAGATGCTTGTGGCAGTCTGGTTCTAGAATTGCTACTTGTACTAGTATTTTGCCTATTTAACATGCGACCAGCTTCTATCTGTCTGCCTGTTTCCAAAATCTTTTGCGCCAATATCTCCGGATTATTCTCTTGTATCTTGCCGATGTCTGGGACATCCGGCCATTCTTGTGATCTGGATCGTCCTTCTCTGCTTTTTCTCGTCGATCCACTTTTACCATTTTGCTGTTGATGATGATGCTGACTTTGTGAATGCTTACTACCCGCTGCTTCCCTCTGCTGTTGGACTAACGCAGCAGCTTGTTTTTCACTACTTGCTCTTTCTAACACATTCAGCTCATGCTCCAATTTGGATACCTGTTTAGTAAATTCAAATTATAGATCGCCATGTGTATTTTCTTCATCTGCTTGTATAAATGTAAGTACATACCTGGCAGTGCAGTCTTTTGCGCTGAGAAAGAGTCGCTGATATCTCTTTCAGTATATAATCCTGCGTGAGTGGTTGAGGCGGATTCGACATACCATTAGCATTCGTTAAACTATTGTACTTTTCCTGCAACTCTTGGTGTCTAAGCGCCGTCAGTCTAGATTGTTCACTTTCCATAGATGCAACTTGTGCTTGCAATTTACTCGCCTTAGCTTGCAACTGCTTATGTCTAAGAACTATCTCCTTAGCTTTGGCAAGTAAGTCTCCGGGTGACGTAGCATTTATACCTAGCTCAGTCATTCTTGCTTTCAATAAAGCTACGCTATCGTCGATTAATACTTTTATTTGTTTCTCTAGTTGCGCTGCTCTTGATTGCAATTTCGAATTTCTCTCCCTTTCTTTTGCAATGTCTGTATTCACTGATACTCTGTACTGAGGAGTTCTCATTGATTCCAGCATGAGCATGAATTGGTCCCTATGAACAAAAGAACCGTCGTATGAACGTATGAACGATAAACGTATTATACCCACTTAAGACGTGAACAATACCTGTACAAGTCCAGAAGTATCTGTAAAGCATAAGGAGTGGCGGACGGAGCAGGTGGTATGCTAAGTTCTTCGTGTACAGAGGTGGAATGTGACTGCAAAGAGAGCGATAACGAAGATAGCTGTTGATCCACGCAACCAGGCGCGGGAGGCGGTTTCTTCCCTAGAGCTTGTGGGGACGTGCTGAGTAGCGTTTGACTGTGCAGCAAGTCCAGGCCAGAGATATTAATTGCCTTCTTGGGCTTGGACTTCTTTACACCTCTGCCTCTCTGCCTGCCTCTAGCAGGAGGTCTCGTAATACCGTTTGTTTTCCTATTCAATTTCCTACGAATTTTATTTGGCTGCCGACGACTTTTAATAGTGCCGTCATCCGCATCCGAGTCGCTATTTGTCCCTTGCTGCTCCGAATGATTTGGGCTCTCTAACTGCCGCGACAAATCACGCTTAGCTCTGTCACCTCGTTCGCCTCTACTTGTTACCTTATTATTACTGCTGGCAGTGTTATTTATCACAGAATCGGAGTTTTCGTCCCCACCTTGTTTGTTATTCTTTAAACGATGGAAATAACGTTCTAACTTGGTACGATCGATTACATGTAAATAATAAGACACTGGTTTACCAGTCCAAGAAACAGAACCCTTCAGTGGTGACATTTCCGAGACGTGCATTATTGTACCAATATCTGTGAACAAAGAACTCGTATTCATGACCATAGTTTTAAGTATTCATTTGTATGATGTTCACAAATAAAATATATTACCACTGAGATTTCTATCCGTTATACGAAAGTTAAGGGGGCAGAATGATTTCGATGATACTATACGTGCACCGTCCCGCAAGTCAGCAAACCGTTCTTTCAGCTGGTGATCCACCGTCGGACCAAACGCAAAATTATTCACAAACACTATTGTTGCTCCGGTAATGCTTTCACGATGTTCGTCAGCTAAAAAATCGCCTTTTACCAAACGATACTCGCCGCATCTTTTTCCGTACCAATTCAACCATTTACGAAAGTTTACTTCCATACTCTAATATTTGACAGAAATAAGAAGCTTGAACATATCGAAAATTTGTAAAAATACAACCTACACATTAAAAGAATGTCATACTTGTGCATATCTTGACGGTACATCAGCTCTTTCTACACCAACACAAATTTTGCACAATGTTGCTGCTGCCATTTGAAGAACTACTTGGCCAACTCCAGATCCCAAGTCAACGAATACATCGTCATCTGTTATTTCAATCTGGTCGATCATTTGACACACAAGTTCGTAACTAGTTTCCCCATAAACTTCCGGTGAGAAAGGTTCATACTGATTCAATTTATCAGGTTCTACTACAGCCTGATTATATGTTTGCTGAAGTATATGTCGCAGTAAACCTCGACTAGGTCGTTTATTTAGCCTCTGAGATGGTAAACTAGTGCCCTTTTCCTGCATTAAGTACATTTCAGGTTTTTCAAACAAAAAAACAGATTCTTACTGAATTATACCATTGCTAAATATTCTACTTACCAATTGAACTAAACTATCAATTGCTCTATTGAATCTGTCGCATAAATTTTTCATACTCTCATAATCTCTGGTATCATAATCACACAAAATATTATTTTCAAGTGGTAATTTCAAGTCCGGCAAATCTTCACAAACCCATCTCATTGTTTCAACAACATCAAGTGCGCCATCGTGTCGGTCCTATAAATAGTTAATAGATAAGATGTATTCATACAATAAATAGAATTTGCTATTAAACATTGAATATTTTATTTATTTATTTTAAATACAATGATAAATTCTATTTGAAATAAGATGCTTTATTGCAATTATAATATTTTGGTACAAATAGCAAAATCTTTTTTTTTCAACAAATTTTCAAACAACCCTTGAAAAGAAAGTGTTATCAAAGAGGATAAAGCAATATAACAATAAAAGTTTACAGCACGCTATAGATACTGTAAGTATACCTTCTTTTTTTGACATTTCTTAAAGTCATAAATCACAGTGCCTAAATTTATGATCACAATACCTAAATTTATGATCACAATACCTAAATTTATGATCACAATACCTAAATTTATGATCACAATACCTAAATTTATGATCACAATACCTAAATTTATGATCACAATACCTAAATTTATGATCACAATACCTAAATTTNTCACCTGATGTTGTGTATGGGAAAAAATGTCTTAAAAAAAGTACCCCTAGTATACTCTGTATATAAATAAACCATGTTACTATGTAGATTTCTAGAAGAGAAAGTTGTACAAAAATATAATAAAACAATGCTTTAATCAGATTACAATAAACAAACCTATTTATTATTTACTATTTGAAAAACAAATGTTATTCTACTCTTATTTCTCCT